GGGATTACAGGCGCCTGCCACCACGCCCGGCTAATTTTTTGTATTTTTAGTAGAGATGGGGTTCCACCATGTTGGCCATGACTGGTCTCAAACTCCTGACCTCAGGTGATCCACCCGCCTCAGCCTCCCAAAGTGCTGGGATTACAGGTGTGAGCCACCACACTCGGCCAAGACATCAATCTTGAGTCTCCAGAAAGAGCAGTTTCAAATCTTGGGGCCCTGAGCTGTCATCTGTACCAATGAGAGTGTGTGAGGCCCAGAGAGAGAGGTGAGTCATTTTCCTACAATTTGTGATTCCATAGCTGCTGGTCCAGCCTTGGACACCTGAAGCTGCCCAGGTCAAACCATTTTACAGATGAGGATGCTGAGGTCAGAGCAGTCGGGTGAATGGCCCAACAGCACACAGCCAGCGCATGACCAAATTTGAGCTGGAAGGCAGGTCTCAGAATTCTCCGTTGTGGGCACTTCCAGTCCCCTCCTTTTTTTTGAGGAGGCAGAAGCGCAGGTGTCTATTGATACAGGATCCTTCCAGGTGTGTGTGTGTGGCAGTGGCCCCTTCTGGAGGCCCCAGGACCCAGAGGAACCCACAAGCCATTGAAAACCAGTCAGAAGGCATCTAAGTAACCACCCATTTAGTATCTGTCACAAGGCCACAAAGGAAACTAAATGGAATGTCTTTGCCTTCGGCGGGAACCCAGCTTGGTGTACCGACTCTCTGGTACTTGCTAGCAGAGATGAACAGTTATGGTTTTTGTTTGTTTGTTTGTTTATTTATTTTGAGATGGAGTTTCTTTCTGTCAGCCAGGCTGGAATGCAGTGGTGGGATCTCGGCTCACTGCAACCTCCATCTCCCAAGTTCAAAGGATTCTCCTGCCTCAGCCTCCCAAGTAGCTGGGATTACAGGCGCCCGCCACCATCCCCAGCTAATTTTTGTATTTTTGGTAGAGATGAGGTCTCATCATGTTGGCCAGGCTGGTCTCAAACTCCTGATCTCAAATGATCCCCCTGCCTCGGCCTCCTAAAATGCTGGGATTACAGGCGTGAGCCACTGCGCCTGGCTTGTTCATTTTTAAATTGAGGTATAATTTTCATGCGGTTGTTTTTGATCTATGAAAAATGAGGAAAACCCCAAATGATTAGTTAAAACTACTTCAAAACATGGGACCTGTGCTGGGTGTGGTGGCTCACACCTCTAATCCCAGCACTTCGGGAGGCCGAGGTGGGCAGACTACTTAAGCCCAGGAATTTGAGGCCAGCCTGGGCAACATAGTGAAACCCTGTCTCTACTAAAAATACAAAAACATTAGCCAAATGTGGTGGTGGCACACATCTGTAGTCCCAGCTGCTCAGGAGGCTGAGGTGGGAGGATCACTTGAGCCTGGGAGGTGGAGGCTGCACTGAGCTGTGATTGCACCACTGCACTCCAGCCTGGAGGACAGAGCAAGACTCTCAAAAATAAAAACAAAACCAAAAATGGGGCCCATGGCAGGGGTGAGAGTGGGTAAAGGGGACTCTGCTGGTGGGAAGATTGGAAGCCACTCTGAGGAACCCCAAGGAACAATGGATGACTGTGGAGGATATCCCAGAGGATTCCAGCCCAGAGCCTTCAGCCGGGGCCGGGCCCCTCAGAGGCTATAGCGGAAAAGCATGTTAGGGGCACTCTGGACCCATTGATTTGCTCAGCAGAGCCCTGGCCTCGTTAGGGTTCCGTGATTTCAGTGTTTACTGACCACATCTATCCTCCATCCCGGCTTAACCATTTTAGATCATCAAGAACCCTAGAAGTAATGGATATTTTCCATTTTTATTAAGTTCTCAAGGAAAAGGACGGAGGAGGAACAATAAATCTCAGTTTTTATTATTATTATTATTTATTTTTTGAGATGGAGTTTCAGTCTTATTGCCCAGGCTGGAGTGCAATGGCGCAATCTCGGGTCACTGCAACCTCTGCCTCCTGGGTTCAGGAAATTCTTTGGCCTCAGCCTTCCAAGTAGCTGGGATTACAGGCGCCCGCCACTGCACCCGGCTAATTTTTTGTTTTCTTAGTAGAGATGGGCTTTCGCCATGTTAGCCAGGCAGGTACCAAACTCCTGACCTCAGGTGATCCACCCGCCTCCGCCTCCAAAAGTGCTGGGATTACAGGAGTGAGCCACCACGCCCAGCCATTGTTTTGTTTTGTTTTTTTTAACATCTCTAATTACAACTCACTTTCAGCAAATTCATCTTGAAGAGGGAGCACAAGAGACTATGGTATCTTTCTTGTACAAACATTATGCTAATATTGTTCACTAGTATTGTCCATAGTATTGAGCTGCTTCTGAATTAACTCCTTATGTCAGTCATTCACTGATTAGGAAGCTGTGACTGGTTCAGTTGACTTGAAAAGTGATTAGAACTGGTGCATCCTGTTGCAAACTGCTTATAGATCCAGTGGGGTGTGTGTGTGTGTGTGTGTATGTGTGTCTGTGTGTGTTTCTGTGTCAGAGGGAGGGAGAGGGAAAGAAGTTTATCAGGCAGAGAACAGCAGCCACAGCTGTAGGATGGAAGACAGTCATCCCAGAGGGAATGGAGTGAGTGTAAGTGTATGAGAAGTGCCTCATTTATCACTCATCTTGGGACGGGAGAAGCCCCCTTTTTGTGTTCATCTGAAAACCCCCGAGCTGGAGCTTGCGGTCATGAGCACCAGTGTCTCACAGGCTTTTTTGGTTCTTGTATTCTGGTAAACTTGGAGCACACCTGTGCCATCAGTGCTTTCTGCAAAACTAACCCCCGCCCCCCACACCCCCGCCACCCCCGGGTTTTAGCCAGAGGAGTGAGCTGGCAGTGCATAGACCAGAAAAAAGAATGGACTTTGAAAAATGAGGTCTGTTTTACTATCATCTTCACTTTGATGATTTTATTCTTGTTCTCAGCCTTCTTGCAAATGCCACTGCCACTGCTATCTGGAGGAGCAATATGAAAGTCACACTGGAGTCAGAGCTTATAGAGCAGCACCATGTCCCTGGAGGATAAGGGAAAGGGCCTCAGTGACTGAAATGAGAGCAACAGTGTAAAGTGGCAGACAGACCACAGAAGGAGGTTCGTGGAGATGCCGCTTCTCAAGCTAAGCCTCGCAGGGATGACGCATACGTGTGTTGTTACAGGGTGATGGAACATTTGTGCTCCAGCTTCAAGCAAGCAAGGCAAGGATGCAGTCTAAAGAATAGGTGCCAGTGTTACAAAATGATAAAACAATTAAACCAAAACCAGAACACCCAGTCCCACTCTGAAAGAAAGAGCTTTCCGAATGGCTGTGTCCCATGCACTCAGTCCACGAGTGAGAGCTGGGGGCTCTGCAGTGGGTGGCTTGTCCTAATACTCCCCACCCCTGGCTCCATTTGGTACATATTCAGAGACTGTAAACTTATTATTTTGAGATGAAGTTTCGCTCTTGTTGCCCAGGCTGGAGTGCAATGGTGAGATCTCGGTTCACTGCACCCTCTGCCTCCTGGGTTCAAGCGATTCTCCTCCCTCAGCTTCCTGAGTAGCTGGATTACAGGCATGCACCACCATGCCTGGCTAATTTTGTATTTTTAGTAGAGACGGGGTTTCTCCATGTTGGTCAGGCTGGTCTCAAACCCCCAACCTCAGGTGATCCACCCACCCCAGCCTCCTAAAGTGCTGGGATTACAGGCATGAGCCACTGCACCCGGCCCAAACTTATTTTCATTACTGTTAAGCCAAACACAATCACAGCATAATCACAGCTAAAATTAACTTTGTTACTGCTCACCTATCTTAGAGGCATTTAAAAGTCTAATTTTAAAGATAAATGCGCTCCTTAATTGTTAAAAGACTTGATGTGGGTTTCAAAAGGTTTTGTTTGTTGTTTGAGACAGAGTCTTGCTCTATTACCCAAGCTTAAGTGGAAGTGGCATGAGCTCAGCTCACTGCAGTCTTGACCTCCTGGGCTCAAGTGATCCTCCCACAACCTTCTGAGTAGCTGGGATCACAGGGGCATGCCACCATACCTAGCTAATTTTCTAATTTTTTGTAGAGATGGGGTCCCCCTACATTGCCCAGGTTTGTCTCAACTTCTCAGGCTCAAGCAATCCTCCTGCCTTGGCCTCCCAAAATGCTGGGATTACAGGGGTGAGCCACCGCGCCCGGCCCCACTCCACATACTTTTAAGATGAAGTGGTTAAGCACCCCTGTGGCCTAAGGAGGTGAAGACAAATGGATAAAGGAGAGGAAGTGCCGCCTTCTCTCTCATTCTTGTGAGGCATCATTTGCCCCTTAGCCTGTTCGGATCAAACCATAAAATGGCAAGAGCTCCTTGTCCTAGAGGGACCCAGTTTTAAGTCGGAAGTGGCTAGAGAGAACATTTTCTTCCAGGTAGGCGGAGTCTCATGCTCCAGACCCTGTTGTCTGGAGGGCTCTAAAAATGCCCTCAGATGGTTGGGAGTGCTGACCCATGCCTCTAATCCCAGGATTTTGGGAGGCCGAGGCGGGAGAATTGCTTGAGTCCAGGAGTTTAAGACCAGCCTCGGCAACAAAGCAAGATCCCATCTCTACAAAATAAAAATTAGCTGGGCATGGTAGTGTGCATCTGTGGTCCCAGCTACTGAAGAGACAGGCAGGTGGATCGTTCGAGCCAAGTAGGTCCATGATGGCACACAGCACTCCAGCCTGAGCAACAGAGCAAGGCCCTGTCTCAATAAATCAATAAATACATTGAGCGACTTTTGTTGGACTACAAGGAACTTTGTTTATGGATAGGTACAACTGTCTCCTAGGAAATTAAAGCCCAGCAGTGACACCCATCTAATGTCTGACATTAGCAGGGCTGGGATGAGTGTTCTTTTCAGGATCCACTGCTACCAAAAGAGGGAGCCTTAGCCAATGGCCAAAAAGAAAGGAAGCAGCCGTGAGTGGGTCAGTGGATCCATGGCCTCAAGATTCCCCAGGAGAGAACAGCAGTGCTGAACCTCCCAGTGAAGACCACTGAGGGAAGAGGAGGGAAAGAGGAATACAGATAAATTTATTAGTTAAATACTGATTTTACAGCCATTTCACCTTAAGACAATGTTAACAGGTTTGTGGGTTAGGGAGGGTATACGAGGGGGCCTTTGGAAGAAAACAATGTAAATGATGATTAAAACAGAATCTTGGTTCAAAGGTATTCTCTGCTATAGCCAGTAGGATTTTGGAGTGAGGGGGCTGGGCGTGTGGGGAGGCGTAGTAATGCCACAGTCAGCTACAGCTCTGCTGAGAAAGAGGAAGGAGTCTCCATGAGCTCCAGCGTCAGGGGCGGAAACTGAGCAATGTGCAGAGGAGAAGGCAGCGGATCCCGGAGCAGCTCAGAGTCGGAGGCTCCCTCCAGGCCCCCTGCCATGGCTTAGCAGTCATCTTCTTTCCGTGACTTGTGTCGTATTGTGTTTGTTTGCTTTGAATTCGCGTTGCAGAATCTCTGGCTTTTCGCCTCCTGGACAAAAGACTGCTGCCGAGGCGAGGCTGCAGGTCCGGAGGGACTCCGGCTGCCATCGGACCAAGGGCCAGGAGGAGCAGACAGCAGGTGGGTCGGCCTTTGGGACACTCCTGCCCCCCGAGCAGGACTCTGTCCACTTACACTCTCCCCGGAAGGATCTCGAGGCTCGGCTGATGTTTGCCAGACTGGCTTGAGCAGCAGAACGTTTTGTTCTTACTCAGAACCCCTCTGTGTGTGACAGGGTGAATGAAGGACCTGCAGGGAACTCGAGGGGGGCCGTTTGGCTAAGCTCCCCAGCTCTGGTTTTGCCAGGGGAGGGACATGTACAAGCTGCAGGCAGAGCTGAATCACTCAGAGCAGGAAGAGGGACTTTTATTTTGAGAGACGTTGGAAGTGAAGGAGCAAAGGCCCGCAGCAGGGGAAGGTGCCTGGGGGAGAAGTTGCCAGCTGCAGTGGATGCGGCTGCGCTCTGTGGCGGGTGCAGTGCTCCTCTAGCTCCCCAGGGAAGTGTTCGGTCACTTCTGTCACATCCCACAGTTGTGGAGTCAGATTTGGTATTGGGGATGCAGGGCGGTGCCGTTTCTCAAGCGGATGGATGGGGCCGGGGCCTCTCCCCAGGGGACCGTCCATCCAGGTACATGGCAAACAGATGCCGTCATTCGGGCTGGAGCAGGGGTCCCAGGGCCCAGCCCTCCGCTTGTTCTCAGATCCCCGGTGCTGGAAACACAATGCGAAGCCCACCGTCTAGGCCACAGCGGTGAACACAGGGGACAAGGACATCTTGGGAAAGAAGTCTCCAACTCACAGGGAGACGCAGTGTGCTCGTGCTGCAGGCTGGGCTCCCTCCAGTCCCACTACCGTATACAGGCATCCGAGAAAATCCAACACCCGCTTCCCCTGACCAGATCATCAACTTCAAGTTTCTTCCCAGTTGTTGTTCTGGAGTCATTCCCAGGCAGAGGAGGCCGGCCCCTGGGAGCCCAGGGCCTCCTTCTTCCCAGTCCTCCACGTCCCAGGTCCGTGCAGGAATTTGAGGAGGGAAGAGGGAAGATTACGCAGTGATTATGTCCCCGTGACTGTCAGCCAAGACCAGGCTGTTCCAAGAGTCCTGCTTGGAGCTGGTCTGTGGAGACTGGCTGACGGGAGACACATAGCCTTGTGGGGAGAGCTTCAGGGCCGAGAGGACCGGGTGGAGGGAGGGCCCGTGGCCAGACATCGCGCTGACCGAGAACGTCTGAAAAGCAGAAAGCACACGATGAGGCCCATGGAGACGCTCCTGAGGTAGGGGAGGGTGCCCTACTATGCAGATGTCGCCAGGATGGCTCCCGCCCTCAGGAAGGGACCAAGGAGCACGTCTCTCTGTTTCTCCTGATCCCGGTGATCTGGGCACAAAGGGTCTGGGTGATGCATCAGCTGCTTCTGAGCACAGTATACAACCAGGGCGAGAACCCGGTGGGCCTGTGGATACTGTGGTTGCCCAGAAGGCTCTGATGGTTACAGGAGACACTTTCTACCATCCTACCACTACCACATCCACTTTCCAACAGAGAAGCCGTCCACCCGGCCCAGAAGGGGCTCCTGGTTCTGTGGGATCAGGTTCTCCCACGCAATAAGAAGCTCATTAAGACACGGCCTCTCTCAGTTAAGAGCAGAGGCAAGATTAACAGCAGGGGCTGGTCAGAGGAGACTGTGGTCAAGCTTGGTGCGTCCTGGTCCCAAGAGAGGGAACTGCAGAGGGGACGAGGCAGGGAAGCTGAGATGCCATCATCCTCCACAAGAGGGAACCTGGGTTGCCCCGGGTGTCCCCTGACACACGTGCAGAGCTGGGCCTCATGAAAGTGACATCCTGCCTGTGACCTCCCACCAGCCTGCCCCCCCTGCCCTCTGCAGGATGCAGGCCTTTCCCCATGCCAGCTTCCTCCTCCTTCCCCACCCTCTCCTGTTGAAGTCTCACCTCCCTGCACATAGGAGACATGGCCTAGAGAACCCCTGCTCTGCCTCCCACAGCGGGACCACGCCTCCCCTCGCCCCAGCAGGCAGTCTCATTCAGGCTGTCCTCGTGTGTTGTTTTCCTCCCCTGCCTCCCATGCTGTATGCCAGCCCCGGACTCCCCTCTCTTTGTTTCCAAAGATAGTGGCATAGAGGAGCTGTTAAAAAATTGTGAGTCATAATCGTGTCCACACCACCATAGCTTGACAAGACGTCCTGAAATACAGCCGGATGCAGAGGCCCCTAGCCTCGAGGGGCCCTGAGGGCACCACGCAGCTCAAAGGCTGGAGCTTCCTAGCCCAGAGGGTAGCTCACTGCTTGCACCTGTGAGGCCTGGCTGCAAGTCCCACCCAAGACTAGGCTGGCCCCTGGGACTCTGCAATCGGCCTCCCCACAAACAGCCCTGGCGCCCCACCCGTGGTGTGTACCTGGGACACGGAGCTGCTGTGCCCGTAGTGAGATGACAGGCCAGGCTCTGTCTTGATGGGGCGCATCTCCTCGCTGCTGCTGGTGGTGGCGCTGCTGGAGTTGCTGGAAGCACCGCTGGTGGGAGGAAGGCTCTCACTGCCTGCAGGACCTGGAATGAAGCAGAGTCAGCACACCCAAATCAGCGGCAGGGACAAATGAACAGCCGGCAGCCTGTGAGACAGCGGGGATGGGTCTGAGCTAATGGCTTTATCTACATTTGTCAGGGAGAGCAGCAGGGGTCCTTATCAGTGGACAGTTACAGTTCTCACAGGGATGGCTTCTTCCCCCTAGCTCATCGCAAACCCTTGAGGCCACATGGGTTTCAGGATTCAAAACTTTTTAAAAAAATTCTTCCTCATTCAACTTGAAGATTCAAATTTTTAAAAGTCCAAATACTGTGTATTATAGAATACCTCCCGCAGGGCCTGAGATAATACCCTATAATTAAATACATTAATATCCCCACAGCAAAACATGTGAATGTCATACTGAATGGGGTAAACAGAGACCATCAACAGCCTTGTGTCTGTTCAAAATAGGTTTTGCTGCCAAATCTAGCTTCCCGGATTTGGAATTTTGGACCGGGGATGGTGCACTGGAGCCGAATGTCTTCTCTACCTGTGATTGCTACGTGAGAGGAAATAAGGTTACCCAGGGCACGTAGGGTACTCGGCAGCAGTAGGGAAGCAGGAGGAGAGGTGGAAGACCACAGGTGTGAGACACTGAAAATTCCGGTAGGAAATATGCCTGCCAGAAGGGGCAAGCCATGGTTGAATCTAGAAAAGTAGAACTTTGATCATGCCCTTGGTAGTGGAAAGGGCCAATTTATCTGACTCTGTCATGCCTTAGGTTAGAAGATACATTTTCCATCAGATCAGCCAATTGATTTTCTCTGTGACTGCAGCACTGACCAGTCCAATCTCTAACTGGGTAGCCGTACTGAGTGGGGAATGTTTTGGTAGGGAACACAAATGTATTAAAGAACAGCCCTTGTTCTTTCATAAATTTATATGTAATTTAATAAATACAAATAAATATAATTTAAATTTAATAAATATTTGATAAATTTATTTACTAAAAATAAATTTAAAAAGAACAGCCTCTGTTCTTTTTTATGTGTTTTTCTTTTTTTAGAGACGGGGTCTTGCTCTGCTCTCCAGGTTGGAGTACAGTGGCACGATCACAGGTCACTGCAGCCTCCAACTTCTGAGCAGCCCTTATTCTTAATCCAGAAATTCAGAAGGCAGAGTGGTATTTTGAAGAGAACATTGACCCGGAAGCATAAAAGCTTGGGTTTTAATTCTCTACCCATTAACAGCTGTAAAACCCTCGTTAAATCATCGTCCTCTATGAGCCTCAGTTTGCTTGTTAGTAAAATGGCGTCATAAACTGGTTCTCATGGAGTCTTGCGTTCATGGAGATAATGTTTCTGAAGGGGCTTTCTAAAGCACAAAGCACTGCATGATGTTCATTATCCACTGGCTTAGAGATCAATCTGTTAGGAACATGATTAATTGGATCCTGTCCTCCTGGATCCCTGTTAGCCCAAAGAAAATTGAAAGGAACTGAGCTTTTGGGTGGCTGCAGCGCCAAAGATGAAGGGACCGAGTAAAGTTCCTCTTTCCTGCAGGCCCTCGACTGGTCCAGCCTGCCCACTGGGATCTTTGCAGTTGGCAATGATCAGACCCCAGCCTGAGTTGAGTCTGCTTCAAAAGCTCCCAATATGTTCCATGGCGATTGTTACTTTTTTGCTGGGCTCTTCATCTTGTCCTGAAAGGCCAGGGAGGTACAAGGCTATCACCACACCCTGGCAGCCTGGGCTGGCCTGCCTAAGCCAGAAGATATGATTCTTGTGCACTCTGAGGGCTTCTGACGTATTCACATAATCACTCACAGATCTTTTCCTCACCTGCTGGTGTCTTAGATTTATTCAGGTTCTTGGGCTTCCGTTTTCTGGTTTGAATCCCCTCTTTCCGCATTGCAAGAGGCCTGGGAACCTGGAGGGTCACAAGTCAATATATATGGTTTTCCATTTCTACATAATCTGCTACAGCACTGAAAGACACACAGCTGCTGCGAGAAGGCAACACCTAAGCAATCTCTCCACAAAGGCTGGGGCTCAGACGGTGTGCACAGGCCCCTGGAATTCAGCAAGAAAGAAATCAATTCTGTTTTTAAAAAACTTATCGAGCACCTATGTGATGTGATGGGGACTTTACTAGAGCCTGGAGAATAGGGAACTAAAGACACACAGTTCCTACCCTCAGAAATTCATAGACAAGCAGAAATAACCGGACTCTGGTAGGTGATATAAAAAGACAGAGAAACACCAAACTGTCCTGGGGTGAGGAGTGGGAAGGAGGGGCACATGAGGATATCAAGGAAGGCTTCAGTGTGGAGGTGACACCTGAGTTTGTAAAAGGTTTTGAGTAGACAGAGGCAGGCATTTCAGGCAGCAGAGAGAATGTTCAAAAGCCTTTATCATCCACACAAGGACCCTGAAAACAAAAAGTGGGTGCTAGGCGAGGCGCAGTGGCTCATGCCTGTAATCCCAGCACTTTGGGTGGCCGAGGTGGGAGGATTACTTGAGTCCAGGAGTTCAAGACCATCCTTGGCAACATAGTGAGACCCTATCTCTATAAAAAAGTTTTAAAATTAGCTGGGCATGGTGGTACATGCCTGTAGTTGCAGCTACTTAGAAGGTTGAGATGGGAGGATCACTTGAACCCAGGAAGTCAAGGCTGCAGCAAGCCGGGATTGTGCCACTGCACTCCAGCCTGGGCAGAGCAAGGCCCTGTCTCAAAAAGGGGCGAGAGTGTGGGGGTGCTATCAATAATTGTGCTGGGAAAATTGGCCTCAACAGTAACAGCCCCAGCGAGTTGAGATGTAACATTACTCTACTTATAGTAGCTCTGTACTGCATTGGGTCTGGCTGGAGCCACTGGTGCGTCTATGAACGGTGGGGAGCAGTAAGAGACTATTCTAGAAACTGCCCTGAGATAAAATGTCCCTGGACAATACTTTGACCACAGTTCTGTTGGGAGGCAGGCCCCAGAGCCATTCACAGATGCCTAAGCCAGTCCTGGGGAGCAGGACTGCAGGGTGCCTTCCCCACATCTGGTTTCTCTTAGGCTGAGCCAAGTCTTTTAGCCCCTGTTCTATGCTATGCTTGTCTACCATGTGGGATCGCTAAAGGCCACACCTGCAAATACAGAAAGAAAAGCAATTACTGCTTCAGAGACATGAACATGGAATGGTTAAGTGAGAAATGCACCAGCATATGTGAACTTGAATTGCCTCCTATTTAACTGTGGGTAGATGGGGCAGCATTTGCACACCCCTACCCCACCATCTGCCTATCTGTCTGTGACTCTATACCCAGACCCCTATTTTCCACCTTGTGGGAGGGTGTCCTCCCCCACCCCATCCCCCTAGCTATGCCTCAAATGTTCAAGCCCATTCTAGCCTCAGAAGAATCTTCCCCTCATGTTAATCTCCATTCACTTAGGTATGCTTTTTTTTTTTCAGTTGCAGTAAAATAAAATACATGTAACTTAAGATTTACCATCTTAACCATTTTTAAGTATATTGTTCTGTAGTGTTAAGCTCATTCACACTGTTCTGCAGCCCTCACCACCATCCCCAGAACTCTTCTCATCTTGCAAAACTCAAACTCCATACCCATTAAACATCACTCCTCATTCCCCCTTTCCTCAGCCCCTGACAGTCTCCATTCTACTTTCTGCCTCCACGGATTTGACACATGGTGTCAGGGGCCAGAATTCCCTTCCTTTTTAAGGCTGAATAATATCCTACGTGTATATATATCACACTTTGTTTATCTGTTCATTTCCCCATGGACACTCGGGTTGTTTCCATCTTTCTGCATTTGTGAATCATGCTGCTGTAAACGGGAGTGTACAAATAGCTCTGAGATCCTGCCTTTAATTCTTTTGGGTATATATCCAGAAATAGTATGCTGGATCATGTGGTAATTTTATTTTTTTTATTTTCTGAGAATATAATCTTTTGAATACCTACATAATATTTCCCAATAAGTTTCTTGTACCATTCCCATATTGAAGAATAATAGTTTAACCATTTTCCTTCCAAAGGTTTTTTCCCCTCCATTTTTGCTATTACAGTGATTAACAAACACCCTTATATATATTCTTTGCAGAAAGAAATGTTTTCTTATGAATTTTCATAACTTTAGCTATTTGTTTGTTCGTTGTAACAAGAAATCATGAAAAGATACATGAGATTAAGTTAATAAGAGTCCTCTCATTCCACTACCGTAAATCCTATCCCAATGGGGCAACTGGATTTAACAGCCTGTTATATATTCTTACATTTAAAAAAAATTCTCAAACACATGTACACATATATATCTATTGACGTGGTTTGGCTGTGTCCCCACCAAAATCTCATCTTGAATTGTAGCTCCCATAATTCCCATGTGTTGTGGGAGGGACCTGAGGGGAGATAATTGAGTCACAGGGTGCTTTCTCCCATACTGTTCTAACTGTAGTGAGGAAGTCTCATGAGAGCTAATGGTTTTATAAGGGGAAACTCCTTTTGCTTGGCTCTCATTCTCTCTTGCCTGCTGCCATGTAAGACGTGCCTTTCACCTTCCACCATGATTTTGAGGTCTCCCCAGCGATGTGGAACTGTGAGTCCACTAAACCACTTTTTTATTTTGAGTATGTCTTTATCAGCAGTGTGAAAACAGACTAATACACCTATACATGTATATGTGTGTGTATGTATTCACCCATCCACTGGTCTGTCCACTCATCCCATATGTATGTGTGTTTACTGCACCTTCAACACTCGTAGTATGCGGTCATGCTACATATATTTCTTTGCAATGTGCTTTTTCATTTTCTAGATCAAGATACATGGCTCTAGATTATTATTTTTAAATTTCTCCTCAATATTCCACATTTTGGGATATACCAGAATTTTTTCAACCATTCCTTTATGGGATTTTAAGGTGGTTTCTAGTTTTTGCCACCACAAACAATGCAGCAATAAATGGTTCAAAGGTCATCATGTACTGGTTATTTTTTATAGGCTAGTTTCCCAACAGTAGACCTGCCAGATATAAAGGTGTTTATGGTTTTAACCCTTAAAAATACCACTAAGTTAATAGATGCAGTTATTCAAATACAAATCAATAATACATGAGAGTATCTAATTCCCCAAATCCACAGCAGCACACATTTTAATTTTTGCCAAATCTGTGGGCAAAATAGGGACTTTCGTGGTCATTTTCGGGTACATTTCCCTGATTTTCAGTGAGATTCAGCATGTCTGCACATGTTTCATGGCTATCTGGACAGCTTCTGTGAAATGTCAGTTCGTATCTTTTGCCCATTTGGGGGAAGTGGGGGAAAAATCAATTGTTCTTTTCTTATTAGGCTATAAGGTCTATCTGTTTCTGGTTTGGTTTTAATTTAACTTGTATTCGAACAATTAAGACTTACAAATGTGCCGTCTAAGGTACCAAGGGGGGGTACACAGCAAAAAGCGTGTCTTTCCAATCCCTTCTCCCCAGGACCCCAGTTTTTCTCCTGGAGGCACCCCATGTACATATATATGCATACATGTGACCATGTGACCAACCTCTACATATCCTACCAGAGGTGTTCTGTGTACATGGAAGCAACCATGTATAAATTATGTTCTTCCTCATATTTATAAAAATAGTGCCGTAGTAAGTAGTGTTCTGCACCTTGCCTTTTTGTTAACACTGTGTAATGGAGAATGTTCCAATAAAAATGTAAAGAACTTTGTAGAAGCTCCTTGTAATTCTGGAAATACTAACCCTTTTTCTGGTACTGTGTGTATTGGCCTTTACTTTCCCTAGGTATCATTTCCAGGCACTAATAGTAAATATTTACAAAATCAAATCTATCTAACTATTTTTACATGGCTAAAAAGTTTTAAAATCTTGTTTAAGAAGTTCTCCCATCCCCAAAGTTACATAAATACTTCCCCTTATATTTTCTTCCAGTGTTTTTATCGTCTGATTTTTTTTGTAGTATTTTATTGTCTAATATTTTTATTTCTTAGAGACAGGGTCTTACTTTGTAACTCAGGCTGGAGTGCAGCCTCAAACTCCTAAGCTCAAGCCATCCTCCTACCTCAGCCTCCTAAGTAGCTGGGACTAGAGGCATGCACCACCATGCCCAGCTAGTTTTTTTTTTTTTTTTTTTTTCAGTAGAGACAAAGTTTCCAGGTTGGTCTTGAACTCCTGAGCTCATGCAATCCTCCTGCCTCGGCCTCCCAAAGTGCTGGGATTACAGGCATGGGTCATGATGCCTGGCCTTACTTTTAGTTTATTTCAAAGATATTTTACATCTAGTATCTTTAATTCACCTAAGTTTATTTTTGTTTAAGTAGGAGGTGGAGGTCATGCTTTCCTTTTGTTTTCCAAATGAACAGCCAATTTTGTCAATGCAACTATCCTTAAGCTTCTTATCCACTGAATCGAAATGTCACCTTTGTTGCATATCAAGGTGCTGTATATAAATATGGCCTGCTCATCTGTAAAATGGAAAATCCACTTATGCAATGTAAAGGATGGAAGAGGCCAGCAAAGTTGTTGAAAGTCCCTTCCAAATCTAAGTATCTTTGTTAAGAAGGGAAAATGAATGCTAGTCCAAAGGAAGAAGACAAGGGAGGACTGAGAGATGGGCATCAGAAGGCAAGGATGCCGCGTGGGCGTGGGACCCACGTACCCCATGGAGCTTCATGTAGAGGCCACAGGCATTGCACACGGGCTCGCCCTCGGCATTGCGGCGCCACAGCGTGGTGGTGGTGGTCTGGCAGTTGGCACAGGAGAGGCCCACTCGGCGGGAGGCAGACTGCAAGACAGGAAACAGACCCTTCATGTCCAAGTAAAAGGGGGGCACTGCCTTCCACCTCACGCGCGGCTGCGGATTGGACCTCCCTAATGGGAGGCAGGGCTGGGCCCTAATGACCCTGCATGAGATCTCTGACCTGTGACAGCACCTAACTCTCCTGTCACCTGAGCCACTGCGAGGAGTAAATCAGAACAAGGTTTCTGCTGCACGAGGAGAGCGAACGTGGGCACTGGAGACCTGGTTTCCAGTCCTAACCATCATTCACCATCAGGCAAATAACCAGTGAGCGCCGGACACTGCCGGAAGGAAGGCTTCTCCTGAAAGAAGCTGCAGGTGCCAGGCACAGACGGAGAGTGAGGAATCATGGTGTCCAAATAGTATCAAAGTCTGAATGGCCCTGGGACCTCAAGAAAGGGAGGCACCAGGGTTTATCCCCTCTGTTCTTCCCTCCTTAATATAGTGCAATCTGGTTGGTGTTGATCAGAATCAAATTATATTAAAAAGGAGCATGAAGCCAGGAGCCAAGCCCCAGGCCCAAACTCTTCCCCAGCCCCGGGGCCCAACACAAGCTGCTTGCACTTCTGGGCTTTGGGATTTATCAACTGATCAACTGAGGTCAGGCTAGAGACCAGCCTCTGAGGTGACCTTCCTTGCAGGGTTGGTGTGGATGGAGGAGACACTCCAGTCAACACCAGAGTGGGAACCAGGAAACCTGGATTCTGGTTCCAGAGTTCCAGATGGGAGACTCAGTACCTCAGTGACTGTGGGCAAGGCCACTAGCTTCTCTGAGCCTCACTTTCCGTTTCTGGGTGCTGAAGAGGTTGAACTGGACAGCCTGGATCATTCTGGTGGCTCCAGCTGACTCTGAAGTTGTGACAATTACGGTGGAGCTCTCACCCATCTTATCCCCTGATCCACACCCTCAAGTTCCAAAATTCAAAACCAGAGGATGTCCCACCAAGGCGACAGCCCTGCAGCCAGGTGCCGAGAGGAGGCCGCGAGGCAGGTGCTTACCAGCCGGCGCTGGGGCTTGATGAGCGGCCGGTTGATGCCGTTCATCTTGTGGTAGAGGCCGCAGGCGTTGCACAGATAGTGACCCGTCCCGTCTCGCCTCCAGAGTGGGGTGGACATAGCCCCACAGTTGACACACTCTCTGCCTTCTGAGAAGTCGTCAAACATATCTACTGAGTTGGGGAGAACAGACAAGAAAAGACAGAGGATGAATTCTTTGTTTATGCCCATCTCTTACCTCTGAGAATCTAGAGCGCGCAGAAACAATGCCCTTTCCTCGGAAGGAGAAGACCACCTTGGGCTGCTCTGGCTCTTCCTCACTCCGACTTCAGCCCCTGCCCCCTAATCCCAGACACTGCGAGCTCCCCTGAGCATGAGAAGAGGAAAGGTTGCAGTGATCACCCGTGTCCTGGGCTGGGAGGCGGGACACCTGGATTTCAGTCCAGATGTCACATTCAGAGCCTCCAGCTCTAGGCCTCTCACCTCCCACTGAGGTCCATGCAAACCTTCTTGCGCTCTCTTTTTCCTTTTCAAAGTTAGTAAGATTACTTTTCCCTTTGCATAAAGATATAAATATTTACCTTATGAAAATCAGTGCCAAAATATATAAGGAAAATTCAGATTGTTACTAATGTTTTCAGCATTTGGTTCTATTGTATCCTTTGTAAGACTGTATTTTTTTTTTTTTTAATCAGAGACAGGGTCACTCTGTCACCCAAGGCTGGAGTACAGTGGTGCAATCATAACTCAGTCCAGCCTTGAACCCCTGGGCTCAAGTGATCCTCCAGCCTCAGCCTCCCAAAGTGCTGAGACTACCTGCCTGAGCCACTGTGCCCAGCCCTTTGTGAGACTTTTCTCTTTTTGAGATGGAGTTTCACTCTTGTTGTCCAGGCTGGAGTGCAATGGCGCAATCTTGGCTCACTGCAACCTCTGCCTCCCGGGTTCACGCGATTCTCCTGCCTCAGCCTCCCAAGTAGTTAGGATTACAGGCATGCACCGCCACACACAGCTAATTTTGTGCTTTTAGTAGAGATGGGGTTTCACCATGTTGGTCAGGCTGGTCTCGAACTCCTGACCTCATGTGGTCCGCACGCCTTGGTCTCCCAAAGTACTGAGTACACCACACCCAACCTTGTGAAACTTTCATATGTTGATATGTATTTTTGCCAAGCTATATAATTCTGAGTCTGTGTGGGTCTTTTGCTTAATATCAAAACATTTTCCCAATGAGAAATTCTTTATAAACTCATTTTATAAAATTCTTTTTAAACTCATATCATTATTCCATCATATAAACGTGCCATCATTTAACTAGTATCATTCAACTATTAATTTTCATCCAGTTTTGGATTCTTGTTTCGTAAACACTGCTTGTTTTGTGCATGAATCTGTGCATTTCTAGTTATCCCTTAGGATACTCTCCGAGAAGTAAAATTTCTGAGTCAAAGGCACTAGATTTCTTTTAAGTTTTTGGAATTTTCTAACTGTCCAGCAAAAAAAATGCTTCATTCATTCATTTTTTCTGTTTTAATATACCTGTATGGGCTGCTGTATCATAGTTTGACATTTTTCTTGCTTATTGGTATATAAAATAAAGGTGCATATTATAAGCCATAGCACTTAGAGCTGCTCACATGAGCGGGGCGTCTCCCCGACTACCACAAGGCTGCTGGGTCTGTCGCTCCCTTCACTCGCTCACTCCTCCCAGCCATCACCTTTATCGTCCATGTCTACAGAACATTAAACTGACAGGTTCCACTTGTGTCCATTCTCCTCACCCTGATGAGACAGGCCGGGCCAGTTTTCTTACTCCCTGTAGTCTATATAAAGCCTGGCTCACAATCTCCGGAAGTGTCTCTGACTTCATGGTGTCCTAATTTGCTGTCCCTAAACACATCTACTTTGGTCTCCAGACTCTTCCTATGCCGCTGCCGGAGGCGAGGGCAGATTCTTCTCTAGTGAAGAGGGGCGCTTTTATTGAGTTGGGAGGACAGGTGATGAAGAGCTCTCTTTCCAACAGGACCCAGCCCGGGAGGGGGTCAAGGTTGTACATTTTGCTAGTTCTGTGACCCAGCTACTTGCTCTAAGGGAATGTGGGCCAGAGAAAAGCATGGTGGGGGGCCCTCCGCCCAACTCTGGGTACACAAACAGTCATTTGCACCTGCAAACAGGTAGCTGTGTGTCCACACCGAGTAAACAGTGTGCAGGTGTGAGGGGCTATTTGCTCAGGCCAGGGAGCGGAGCACAGGCGTCACAGCAGAGGCTATTTTTACACCTGGGTCACACTGACAGCCTCTACCAAGGTCACCTGCCCTCAGAGCCATACATGAGATGCGGCCACTCCTGCCTATGACTTGCTCCCAGCTGGATCCCCACAATTAACAGTACTGTTGTCACCTCTACAGTCGGTGCCTATGGCCTGTCAGCCTCACTTCTTTCATCCAGGCCTGCTCATGAGGGGATTCGAGAGGCCAGGAATTTACAGAAGAACATTAGACCAAGCCAACTCCACAGCAGGAGGTGGGCACAGGCAATGTCGTCATTTTGTTGGGTGTCCACAATAAACACTAGGTGGCACTACCATCTCAAAATTGAACCAAGACACCCAGTCTGGCCTGAATGACACTTGGACATAGAGGCCTTGTAAGATCACCTTTCCAGTCCAAACCTAGCACAACTCTCTCATTCTGGTTTCCTTTCTTATTTTATTTTTCTCTTTAGAGACAGGACTCACTCTGTCACCCAAGCTGGAGTGCAGTGGTGCAATAGTAGCTCACTGCAGCCACCAACTCCTGGCCTCAAGAGGTCCTCCTGCCTCAGCCTATTTTTCTTTTTCTATCTTTCTTTTTTTTTGAGACAGGCTGGAGTGCAGTGGGCCCTGCAACCTCAAGCTTCCTTAGTACCTGGGATTATAGGCACACGCTACCATCCCCAGCTAATTTTTGTAGAGACAAGGTTTCACCATGTTGCCCAGGCTGGTCTCAAATTCCTAGGCTCAAGTGATCCTCCTGCCTTGGCCTCCCCAAATGCTGGGATTACAGGCATGAGCCACTGCACCCAGCCCTATTTTTCTTTATTATGAAAAAATGTAAACATTCAGAAGTAGACAGAATATGAAAGAGAACTCTGACTTAACCATCATCCAGTTGCCAATCATTTGTGGTCAATCTTGTTTTATCTATACCTCCATTCACTTTCCCCCATATTGTGCTACTGAAGAAAATCCCAGACTTCTATTACTTTATTCACAAATATCTCAGTATGTTGCTCTAACAGATAATCACACTCTTAAAAATAAGCAAACTGGCTTCTCTCCTACATTCTGGTTCATTTAAGTCAAAAACATCTCATAATGTGTTCCTCTTGTTCGGAGGGGAGATTCTCTTTTCTTCTCACAATTATTGTTTTATATGCAGGAATATCGGAGTGTTTTTCTTCTTCTTCCCACACTACACTGATGTAAAGAAAAACTTTTTTTGAGACAGGGTCTCACTCGGTCCCCCAGGCTGGAGTACAGTGCTGCGATCTTGGCTTACTGCAGCCTCAACCTCCTGGGCTCAAGCACTCCTCCCGCCTCAGCCTCCCAAGTATCTGGGACTACAGGTGCATGCCACCATGCCTTGCTAATTTTTTTGTTTTTTTTTTTTGTATTTTTGGTAGAGACAAGCTCTCACTATGTTGTACAGACTGGTCTTGAACTCCTAAGCTCAAGCGATTCTCCCACCTCAGCCTCCCAAAGTGCTGGGATGTTGGGCGTGAGCCACCGTGCCCACCCCAGAATCTTATTAAAGGACCCAGGAATTCCTGGAGCGTCCTCTCAGCTGCTGACTCACCTTTGGCTGCCTTGAGAACCCAACACATAGGTCTGCCTCGGAAGCTCCTGCAGGCTCACCTCAAAGTTGGGTTATGCATTCAAGCAACTATTTTACTGTCCAGGTAAAGTCACTGGAGGTTGCCAAATACGTATTCGTCACCAACAAATATTTACTAAGCATCTGCTATTTAATCACTCTGATAGATGTCACAGGAGCTAGGAGGGAACCCAGGTCTCGGAATGCTAATGATCTATTTGGACAACTTGGATTTGAATATCAATAATGAGTAATAATATTACTCGGTTCGTTTTTAGAACATACCCTCAGCAGAGTGGGGGACTCATGGCAGACCCAATTGTCTAGGGCAGAAAGTGTGGAATCCCCACCAGCATAAAAGTCCCATTGTGATAGAAGGGTCAGGGGTCACCAAAACAGCCAAAGTAAAGGCTATGCTTCCTAAAGACACCCAATAGACAACCTGCAACACCTCCAAATCTGCAGAATTTTCCATATTTCTGACCACAAAATCTTGCCATCTAACCCGGTCAATGAAATGTTACATACATTTTTAAACAATTACTTTAAAAACAAGGTAATCATAGAGGAAAATGTTGAGCCTATAATGTTAAATGACAAACACAGCACTAAGTCCCAAACTAGCACTCACATCTGGTATGAACCTCGGTAAGCACCACTTCTCATTCCTTCTTAGGAGAGGTACTGAGAGGCAAGAATGATTCTGAAGCCAGGGGGCACAGCTGGGGCCTCGGATGCAGCCCCTCCCACCCAGTGCTGGCATCCCGGGAACTGCTCCAGCCACTTGGAAGGCATCACCCACGTTTGGAGGAAAGACTTGTAATAATAGTTGTAAAGTACTTTGCAAATGAGAGGAAAAACTTACAACAATGGCTGTAAAGTGCTTTGCAAACATCAAATGAGATAACAATGATGGATTATTGTTAGGAGGCTGAAGTTGGAGGGGTCAGGAGGGAAGGGGAGCGACCAGGACAAACCTTGGCGCTGGTTATTGGAGGAGGGGAGGACAGATAAAAGAGCTAGGAGATTGGGGAATCTGACCTTTCTTAAACCACTGGGGCTATGCTCAGAATTGTCTGTCGCTCTCAGCCGTCAGGTTTGAGACTGCAACCCGGGAACCAACTGATGACAAGGCTGACCGTGTACACTTACTCGGTCTCCAAGTTGTTGCTCGTGGAAGTATGAATTAATGATTAGTTTAGCAATGAAAAGCACAAAATAAACTATGTCCTAACTCCAAGGATGGGGATCTCACTTCTCACTTCCATCCATACCCTGCTAAAACAGTTTTTTTAAAGAGGAAACAAAGTCTGATAGTCCGA